ACTGAAATAGTATTTTCTTTACTGTTTTGTTTTATGTGCATTTTATAACTTGATTTTTTTATTTATTTAAAAATTTTAAAAGCACCAAACGGAAATGAGAAAGGCATGAAAAACGTCCTAAAACAGTAATTATGGGCCTATAGTGTTTGGGACATGCACCTGAGCTGGTTCTGAAAACAGGATCTTTGGTCTTTAAAACAACCCACCTGCTGCTTAAAATTTTAAAAGCACCAAACGGAAATGAGAAAGGCATGAAAAACGTCCTAAAACAGTAATTATGGGCCTATAGTGTTTGGGACATGCACCTGAGCTGTTCTGAAAACAGGATCTTTGGTCTTTAAAACAACCCACCTGCTGCTCCTGCAGCCTGACTCTGGCTCTGTTGCTCTCTCTTTCTCTCTCTCAGGGGATAAAGGTTAAGACTGGTATCAAATGAAGTGTAAAGCACTCATGCCTGTCTTCCCTCTGTCTCTTTTTATCTTTCCCTTCCACTTTTTTGTCTGTTTTCTACCTTCTTGGCAGACCTATATGTTTACCCCACTGCATCTGCCGCAGGCGACCAAATAAGTGTCAAAGAGGGGTGAGAGACAGAGATGGATTTTGAAGTCAAATGTCTTGATGAAGTACCACAGTCTCCCACCAAGGGAAAATTACTGCAGCGTTTCGACCTCTTGCACAACTTGTGACAGACATACATCCTGACTGCTTGGTCAAAATGCCTGTCTTGGCATGATAATAGGTTAAACACAGCAAGTTATGTCTCTATGAATAGGTGAGAGAGAAGAAAAATCAGATGTCAAAATATGGGATCTGCCTAACAGATCTGTCAGCATCTATTATGTCATTAAAATTCATTAAACAACATTGCAGAAAAAAGAGACCCCCCCCCCCACACACACACTGCTCTTGGATGGATTCATTTAGTCATTTTAATAAGCCCTTTAAAACCAAACATGAACACATAGTTAAGTCTAAATGAAATAACTGTAAAGCTAATTTAAATTACAAGCCTCCTAATGTATTAATCTATGATTCATGCAGTGCAAATAATATGACTACTTATTCATTCATTTTATTACTGGCTCTGTTTAATCCTCTTGAATAATTACTTTATTAGAGAGATTTAATTTTATTTTATTTTACCGATATCATGAGCAAAATTATTATAAACAAAGAATGACTAATATATAGATAAAAAAGTTATTAAACACTTTCTATTAAAGGGGTCATATGATGTTGCTAAAAAGAACATTATTTTGTGTATTTGGTGTAATGAAATGTGTTTATGCGGTTTAAGGTTCAAAAAACATATTATTTTCCACATACTGTACATTATTGTTTCTCCTCTATGCCCCGCCATTCTGAAACGCGTCAATTTTTACAAAGCTCATCGATCTGAAAAGCGAGATGTGCTCTGATTGGCCAGCTATCCAGTGCATTGTGATTGGCCGAATACCTCAAGCGTGTGACGGAAATGTTAAAGCCTTTACCATACTGTGATGCTGTCTCCTGGCTCCCAGTGGGGACATAATTACGGATTATAATGACTTATACTGTCTTTTTTTCGCATTGCATTGCATCGCGCCGCGTAAACATAAAACCATGTCTGCATTTGTGATCGGAGAAATGACAAACAACAAGCGTGTCCCAACTTTTTTGGAATCGGGTTTGTATTTCCTCAGCGACCAGCATGGATCAGCTCTAGGCATGACGAAGCGGATATCGTCCTCTTTTGGAAGGCCAAACAAAGTAGTTTCGCTTTCACAAAGAAACACACGGCAACAACAATACCACAGCGAGAATCAAAGTTACGCCTTCTTTCTTTGTGTGAACATTTGGGCGGCGTTATGCAAATCTTCCCACATCATGATGTAGATATGTGGGGGCGTGTTAGAATGAGCCGTTTTAGGTAGGCGTGGTTGACGCTTAACTTTTATAAAGAATATCTCTTTGGATTTGAGACTTTAGTCTTTGCAACTTTACAGATCTTCTTTATGCACCAAGAGCTTGTAACGCTCCAAAGAGAAAGGAAAATTTTAAATTGCATCATATGACCCCTTTAATATGTCCAATAGGTATCAAAAGTGGTGTTGAGAACCATTCAATTTCACTTTTATTTACTTATGAAACACTACTTTCTTGTCAACTCTGTGCATAACTACAATATTGAACACTAAAATGTCATGCAATGCATTATTTTAAGGCACAAATAGCCTTGTTTGCCAACAAATAGAATATAAAAACTGACATCACAATCAGAATCTGACTAAATTAATGGATCCATTTTAATTAACTGATTAAATTAATTTACTTAAGAGTTGTAGAATTTTTAGATTTTACTAAATGAGATAAAATTTTGCAAGCAGAATTCTGCAAAAACGCAACATAAAACACCAGATAATACCTGCAGAACAAAATTTTGGCTGTGATCTCTGAAGGCGTATTAACGAGCCTGATCTCATGACGAAAACGTACCTGTGGGAACTTTTCTGCAAGAGGCAAAATACGTAGCACCATGTGCATTTCGTGACATATGTCCACTGAGTGGTGCTAAAAGAGTGTTCGTGTATCTCCGGAACAGATAAATGTACATAGTGTCTGTTTTATGTGATGTTGGTTTTGTACGTGTCACCACAGTTCTGGCTTGAAATGTCTATCGAGTGGCGCTATAACTTTAATGCTCTGTGACGTTTTAAAATAACGTACCATCTGCACTACACCTGAACCTACCCAATAGTATGAACATAAGATGTGATGTGATATAAAAACATGCCGTTTTAGCTTGTTTTTCGATCTTTCATCTTTCAGCTCTTTCATCGTGAGTCATGCTTTTCCACGGGATTTGCACAAGTCCAATTCCGTGCCGGCTGAGCAACCGGGCAAGCTTGTTACATCTGGAGAGCGAAACATACAGTATGGAGCTTTATTCATAACTGTACGAAATCAATTAAAAGTGCTTGCTGATGTACCACCTCTAGTGTTCATTTCTGTTGGAAACTGCAGTGATATGTACTTATTGGTACGTATTTTGCATTTTGCTAAACATTTCCCACAGGAATGTTTTCATCATAAGATCAGGTCAGAGCGCACCAACAGACGCAGACCAATGCAATAATTGACCGAGTAGGCTACAGTAAATCACTTCTCAGATATTCCAAGACCCGACAAATACCGATTCAACATGTTTGATTGGCGAAATATGCGCCGTCCAGTGGCAACAGGCATAACACAGAACATGTCTTTTGCCGTCTGTTGGTGCAGTGTGAATTGGCCTTAAAATAGCCTTGTTCTCACTGAGTCAGAGCAAAACATGATCAGCAGGACCTTAGGACAAAAAAAAAAAATGAATCAAGCCAAATTAGATTATCATGAAATGAAACAAAGCTACTTAAAGCTGATGCAATTTCTTAATTCTTAATATTGAATTGTGTATTCATCAGGAAATAATGCAGGGTGGGGTTTAAAAAGTGAACAAGTGAAGGCTTTGTTATTACTAGTTAAAGTTATTTTACTCACACAGTTCTGCCTTGGATACATCAGCAAAAAAATAAACGCTTTTTAAAGCTGAAGAGAAAATTATTACCTTTTGATGAATGACTAAAAAACAAACAAACATTGTTTTCTTTAGAATAATATGCACTGATGAATTGCACATAATAAAACCAGGGACATTTATTAGGAGAGTAATTAGAGTCCATTTTTATTTCAGGGTTTCTTTTGTACTCCAGGTGAAAGGAGGGAAATTGTAATAGAATACACCATAACAGAATACCTGACTACCGTGACCAACAGTGACCTTAAACTCCTGACTGTTTACAGACTCAGCAAACATAGCCTAGACACAAAGAAAGTCAGACACAGACAGTCCTCGCTGCTGAAGGAGGACATGCTGTGCTCCTGCTGCACACAAAATGAGATGGAAACACAATTGCACTTTTGAACCTCACGCACTACACATAAATCAGCAACATATTCCATCCTTCTTATGCAAACCACTATAAAGAGCATCTATTGTGCATGCATGTGTAATGTTTACTAATGCTTTGTCAATGTAAACCAGTTTATCATGTCAGTAAAGCACATTTTAATCTCGAGTCTTGAGAGAGAGAGAGGAGAGAATGTTAATAGCAGTGTTAAATGGCAAACAAAATTATATGTGATAAAGATTTTTTTGTTTTTGTTGACTAAAAATAGATAAATTGATAAATAATTGTCCTATAAAAGTGTAAATGTCTCTCACTCGCTCTCTCTCTCTCTCTCACACACACACACACACACACACAGGTTTGTCTTATTATGTTATTCATTAACATAAATCAGATATATAGAATTTACAATGCAATCCAATGAAAAAAATACAGTGCTGGATACTAAGTAATTACATGTAATCTGGATAACATAATCAGAAATAAATTACTTGTAAATACATTATATTACATTTTAAAATGCGCATAGTCAGATTACAGTTACTTTTTTGTAGAATACATGATTACATATTATTCACACAATGGCAGTAAATTATTCATAATTTGATTTGGCCTAATTCTTCTTTTTTCATCTCTATCGAAATGTTACCACTTTTATACATTTGGAAAGTCTTCCATCTTTTCATCACCTCACGAACCCATTGTAGTTCATTCACGAACCCCAGTTTCAGAAACCTTGGCATAACATAATGTTTAATACACTTCCAAAGAATGGAATCTATTTTAGATGAAAAGTAATCTAAAAGTAATCAGAATACATTGCCTAATATGTGTAATCCAAAACATTGTTACAAACTATAATTTCCATAATGTAATTTGTAATCAGTAAGAGACTACAATTTGTAAGTTATCTACCCAGCACTTTATAGTGAATATAACATGATAAACTTTGACTAGAGCATGTAGAGCATAAAAAAACATAAAAATGAACATTGACATATAGAGAGGTAATTTCTCAGTTTTGTTTTTAACTTTTTTCTGTTCTCTTCTGCATCGATTGCCCTGTTTCTACAGGCCGAGCTACAGAAGATGAGGCAACAGGCTCAGGAGACGAAGCAGTTCATTGAGAAACAGGAGGCAGAGGAACGCGAGCTGCTGAAGATCATAGCAGAGGCTGATGCTGAGAGGATCCGGCAGAAAAAAGAGCTCGATCAGGTACAGACAGGTGCAAGGTTTCAGTGAGTGTCCGCGTGTCCTTGTGTTCCTTCTTCAATCGGCTGTTTACGCTAAAGATGAAAGAGACAGTAATCTAGGTTCACTCAAAAGTAATTAGATCTGGAATATCACTTCTGAGAAAGTCCAGCGGGAACAGGGTTAAGCTCTCTTTAAAATAGCAAAAGGAAATTGAGTCACTGGGGAGGCCTAAATTGGTCTTGGCATTTTGAAACATTTAGTGCTTCTGATCTAAGTAAGTCAGCAGTCAAACATGATTAACCAGCTGATCAGTCATTCAATATAGTACAATTCAAATAGTAGGCACTGATGTGATGATCATTTTTTGTGTCTTAATCTATTAAGTTTATACAAAAACAACTTGAATATGCCTCTTATGATGAACATACTTTCAGTTACTGGTTTAAAGTATAGTTTTATATTCTTTGGGAGGGGGGTTAAGGTCTAAAATATCTAGGTGATGTCAGGAGAATGCTTTGAGGAAAAAAAATATTAAGATTGAAAGGCTTTAAAATAGTTTTAGCCTAATCTTTTATTACAGTAATATGTCTTCTTAAAAGTGGTGAAAAGTTTTTTGTTTTTTTTTGCGCTCCAATCGATCAAAAAAAAAAAAAAAAAAATTATTATTATTTTAGAAAATGTTGAGGGTATGGTTGTGTATCAAAGTCAGTAGGCTTTTTTTTTTTTTAAGTTTGTCTTTTCATGATGTGAAAATATTAGTTCAGTTCTTTGAGATAAATACATTCAGTGAATAACCTTATTAAAACATCATGACATTGAAGATTTAAAAATTATAATATTTGTACTAAATACCGTTTACCTTTAAATTGTATTTATTTATTAATTTATTCATATATCTATCATAATGTAAAAAAAAAAGAATACACTTACATAGACTCAAGATGCAAGGAAAAGTCAGCACATCATAACAAAAATGTATAAAACCAAAGATGACTTAATTTTATTTCAGATATTCTTGTTTGTCTTTTAGCTGAATTAAATTTAGATGTATATGTAGCTTCGGCTGTAGGCTTGACTATTAGTTTTTATGGAGAAGAAAACAAAAGGCTTCATAAATACTTTTTTAACACATTCAGTAACATCATTTTTTTTACAGCATCTTTGGTAAGTCATTCAGGTCACTATTAAAGATCATAAATTGAATGTAATGTTAATATCTGCTGCTGTACTTTGCTGACATTGGTTCTTTGGTAAAGGTTAACCCATTCAAAGGGCATTCTGTCCAAATTGCCTCTGCTGACGCCAGCTTTCATACTCTTTTGGCTATCCATACACATTAATAAAGCTTCATCGTCTGTACATCCCTGTGCTCCCCAAACCATATTGTATACTGTATGTGATACAACTAATACCTTATACATAACATGCATTACACATATAGCTGTACATTTCAGCATTGCAGAATTTTGTGCATACACTTTAGTTTAGTGAAAGTTGAGAAAGAAAGTGGTCAATGGTCAATGACCATTTTACATAACTTCCTTCCTAGTATATATGGTGTGTAGAATAACACAAAAATGATTTAGATCAAAGAAAATGTTATATTTATTTATTGCGTATGGCCTTCCAAATGTTTCCCCTGACTTTTTGTTAAAATCCATTAAGTAAAAGACCCTAAAACTTCTTTATAAGACATTTTCCCAAACCTTCACAATATTTGTCATGTTGCATGACATTTTTGGCTATTATCCTGAAAAGACTAACACTGCTGAGTCATCAAATCTTTGCAGAAAACACTGGCCTGCCTTTTATTTCTATAATATATCGTCTCACCTCAGTCAGAGGTGTAAGTACTTTGAAGGTTTTCTCACAGATGCTTGAAGATGTGTTAAAAGTACCAGAACTTCAGTACCAATCTGGGTAAAAATAAAGGGAATGCAACAAAAGAGCTAGCATTTATACACAATCAATGATCATTAACTGAGAGGATAGTGAAATTTCACAGTTTTTTGAATGTTGCCTTTTATCTACATTTGTGTATTGACTGGGTATTTCTGTGTTTGTTTTCAAGGTGAGAAATGAGCGTGACCTCCTGGGGATGCAGTTGATGAAGAGAAACGAAGCACTGGCATTACTGTACGAAAAGATCAAAATCCAGCATTCCATCATGAACAAGGGTGATATTCAGTACAATGAAAGATTGGAGGATATCAGACTCCTGAAGCTAGAGATCAAGAAGCAAAGACGAGAAAAGAACATCCTCAACAAGACCGTCTCTAATGTGGAGGACCTCAGGTAACACACATTTCTTTTCAAAGTATCTGTCCACATATGGAAGTGTTTCGGTTTGACGTTGCACACTAAGAGTAGGCTTAGGGCGGTTTCACACTAAAACGTGTTTGACGTCAGAGATTGATTCGTTTGGTTGGTGTGAAGGCTGTTTACGGTTCATGTGGAATGGAGTAAGCCTGAAAGTAATCTGGCTTAATGTTGTGTAAGTGAATGACTTTTGATGCACTTTTGAACCACTTTATGACTTATATACAGCTATAATTTCTTTTTTTTTAACATCTATTGCTCTAAAACCTTATGGAAGCAGGTGCTCGATCGCTTTTCTGCAACACTCATGTACTCTTCAGAGGTATAATGACATAATGATTATGCCTCAATCATAGGTACATAAAGCACAAAGAGATGGAGCTAATTGAGTGCCTGTCAGATAATTCTCTTGTCAGTATTGACCTCCGCTAGATGTTTATTGATGTTTTCAAAAGCTGTAATTCACCACTCTCAATAACAGTCATTTTTTCGGTCACAAAAGACGTGCGATAAAAATCACTTTTAATGGAGTTCTTAGCTGAGTAAAAAGGAGGCGGCAAGAGCTCGCTGTGGAAAATGAGGGAGCGTTTGAAAGCACTGGCAGGTCTCGCATCTAAAGTCAAACCAGATCTATAATAGATGGGTTTTACTAAGCTTCTATTGGTTATTTTAGTAACATAAGGGGTGGTGATGACCTCACATTCTCCTCCATATCTCAAGCCAATGCAAAATCTCTAAATATTCAGTGAGTCAGAGTCTGAATTATGTACTGAAATTTCCATCGCCCCAAAATGATTTAATTAATTTAACCAGGTTCTCTCCCGTGAATAAGAAAGACAGTCACCAAAAGAGAGATTTTCTTCTTCTCCTTTTTTGGTTACATTTCACTGATCTTTATCAACCACTTAAATGAGAAAAAATCTCTATGTACATTAAAAAATTTAAAAGGAAGTGATAACAAGCAACCAATTTGTTCAAAAACACTGATTCAGGAACAACAAAAATGTTTTTAGGAGCAAGTCATTGAATCATTGAATTGTTGAATCATTTGTTGAGTTAATGAGTAGGGTTGGGTATCGATTGGGTTTTTTACGATACCGGTGCCAAATCGATAGTTTTAAAACGGTACCGGTGCCTAAACGGTGCCTGAACTGATACCTTAAAAAAAACAAAACGCTGGATAACATTAAAGAACATTACAAATATTTAAAATAAATATACATAGCATTCACATGCTCCTCGTATGCTCTCATTTCCCGAGTTGTGCTTCCCTTACTCTAAGGCTAATAAATGTATTTCACGATCTGGGTCATTATTTAATACAAAACAATATTTAATACAAAACCACACATAATGTTTCTACTGTATCTCTGTCAATCACTCTGACATTTAGTTAAAATGAGTGAATTGACTGAGTGCTGTCCGTCACTGTCTTTAATCAGTTCTGTGAATGACTGTATGGTATGCCACATGCACTGTAATATGTTTTATATTAAATATAACATTTTCAAATGGAAATAGAAACAAGATTGTTTTATAAAGTATGCGTTCATATTTAAGGGCTAGATTTTCGCTGGAGGAAACAGCTGTGGTGTGATGAGGGGTGAACAGCGAAAACTTTACAGTAGATGGGAAACTGATTGCTCCCTCGTGATCTTTTGTAAACTGTATTTATGACAAAGAATTGCACAGATACAGATATTATAACAATCTATCGATAAACACACACCTTGTGTCCTCTGTTTCTGTTTGAGAGTCTGCTCGCGCTGCGCCGCCGCAGTCTGCGGATTGAAAAGCGCGCTGAAAGACGGGGAGGAGACTAAGTCTGCCGCCGTTTTCATATGAAATTTAAAGGGAACTGACTCGGAGGCGATCACAAATTTGTGTACAGTTTATGGAGCTAATAGCTATAGTCCTGCTAAAAATGGACTAGCGACGCCCATGCTTCTTACGTCCATTTCAAAGACAAATATTTCAATCGATCGCTCAGGCATTTAAGTGGCACCGAAATCTGCGTTCTGATTCGGTTCTAGTACATACCGTTTAGGGTTAAGGTTAGGTTAGGCACCGGGTTTTGGTACCCAACCCTATTAATGAGTGCCTCATTGAATCGTTCACTCAAATTATTTTTCACAGCTCTGATTCATTCATTTAAGAAATAAGTGGCTATGGCTGAATACAGAATGGCATACCACTCTTACTATTTCTACCATATTACTATTTAACCAAAAGCAGTACGCAGTTCTAAATTTAACCTGTCTTTATGAGCTAGTCATTGAATAATTCACTTCAATGATTCATTCACAACACTAATTGATTCTAGAAGAAAACAAGCAACTGGCTTTATGAGTGAGTTCTTGAATCATTCACTCAAATGGTTCGTTCACACTCTAATTAATTCATAAATGAAGCAAGTGATTTTGCTGAATTCCAAACCATGTACTAGCATGCTACTCTTACTGATTATTCCATAGAAAGATATGATAAAATTGTAAGAGTAGTATTCTAATAAGTGCTTCTGAATTCAGCAAATGTCTTTATAAGCAAGTCATTGAATCATTCACTAAAACGATTTGTTCACAACTCTGATTCACTGAAGAACAAAACAAGAAACTGTATTTATGAGTGACTTGATTCATTCAAATGAATTGAAAGCTCTGATTCATTCAAGAACAAAACAAGCTACTGTCTGTATGAGTGAGTCATTGAATCATTGACTCAAATAGTTTGTCCACAATACTGACCGATTCAAAAACCAAACAAGCAACTGTTTTTATGAGTGAGTCAATGAAACATTTGCGTGAATGATTCATGCACAACACTGATTCATTCAAGAAGCAGCTGTCTTTATGAGTGACTCATTGAACAATTCACTCAAATGATTTAGTTCAAATGTCTGATTCATTCAAGAATGAAACTACTGTGTGTTGCTCAGTGCAAACTTAAGGGCTTGTTCTTTTTAATTAATCCATCGACTTTCATTTATTTCACTTCCGCAAACTATGGTTTGCTACATTCTAGTCGGCTGCAGTTGGATTGGCATTCTCACTTTAGAGAGCATTTTTGCTTCTGCTAAAAAATGAGCACTCTTCAAATCACCCATGTCCCCGTAGCACCCTTAACTCTCAACAGAAAACATACTCGTATCATTGTTCTTCCTATACTCTGAAACATATGTGAAAATCAATGAGCTAGTGGTAAGGTTTCAGAGAGACTTGTCAGCAGCCGCTGTGCCAGATGGGTTGACTTGACGCTCGAGCTTGGATGCCAAGATCTCTGCTGATATACAAGCCTCTATGGTAAACAGGTGGCAAATTTGAGTCATTATTGCTGTCATCAGTGCAATGTAGTTCCCTCAAAGACGCTGACTGTAGCATATCACTGCCTGGCTGTGGAGCAATATTTCCTCTAGGTTTAAGGGTTTCTGGGACAAGTCCATGAAAGCAAAGTCTCATGAGGAACTGACATCCTTCTGTGTTTACGTTTATACATTTAGCGCATGCTTTCATCCAAAGCAAATTACAAATGAGGAATTCAACACAAAGTTTCAAAACTGCTTCTTGCACAACAGAAGCAAACAGTGTGTTTATAGTGTGGTTATTAATTTTTTTTACTCCTTTTAACCAGATTTTTAATTTTTTAAATTTAATTATTTATTTATTTTTAATGCTCTTTTACTCTTCTTGAAACACGGGTACTCATGGCACAGGATACTACATAAATGACGCATATGAAATGCATTTGAACATTTTGTGTGATTGGCTCATTTGAAATGTACATCTGTGCTTTCAGTATATATATATATATATCTATACTGTAGATCCTTTAAAAAGTAATGGTTGCTTTCACATTTCTGGAGAAAATTAGAATCTTTTATGGCACCATTTATTACTTTAAAGCTTGATGGACATGCTCTCTGTGAACTGTCATTGTCTACCAAGAAATGTGTAAATATCTACTTTTGTAATCCACAGATTGGTTTGGAGCAAAACAAGTAAATTATGACAAGAATAATTCCTTCGACCATTGAAAAGTTTGGGGTCGGTATGTTTCACACGATTTTTCAGAAATCATTCTAATAGAAGCATTTGTTATTATTCATATGGAAAACAGTTGTGATGCTTCATATTGTTGAGGAAAAAAAGTGTCTTTACTGTCACTTATGATCAGTTTACAGCATCCTTCATGAATATATATAAAATAAAATAAAATAAATCTTACTGAACGCAAACGTTTGAATAAAATTTCAGGAATCTCACCGGAATGGATCCAGCTTCATAGAAGAATATCCAGGAATCTCATAGGAAAAGATTCTTGAAATATTTCAAAATAGTCTATAGGCGCGTTTCCATTACCCTTCAAATTGCGCAAATTGAAATTGCAAATTGAAAATACGCCTAATGGAAACGTATGTCAATTTCGCAAAAACGGCCATATATCGCAAAAAAGTTTTTACGCTTGCATGAGGTGGTTTTTCAGGCAATGCGAAAAAGGATTAATTCGCAAAACTGCAATGGAAACGGCTTTTTCGCATTTACAGGTCACATGGCGTATGTAAAAAGTCATATGATCATTCTTCAACGTACTATAACCTCCAAGAAACACTTCATAAGTGGCCGCGCTCCAGTATAAGGGGATTTCCCTACTATTAATACTTAGACAATTTACACTGCACACGTCTGCGGTGCAGTGTGGCTCTGATACAGTCACTGAAGCTGATTACGGCCACTCAATGCTTGTGTTTATGTTTTTATACAGTCTGTGGTTTATTCCAGCTGTGCCACGCACGTTTCTGAAGTGACACTCTTTGCTGCTTCTGTAAAGATACACGCATAAGCCTCCTTTGAATAAATATAGCCAAAATCCCACCAAAATCTGTTGCCATGACTTATCGCGAGACGCAAAAGGTTACGTTTAAGTCTCATAACATTGGTTAATGGAAACGCCGTCATTTCGCAATACTTTTTTATCGACAT